AACCAGAATCATACGATGCAATGATATTAGGCGCAGAACACCCCGCAACTACCACAAGACGCATTACTGCATATAGCCGCACGCATCAATGTGACTATCGCGTAGGTGGCACACCCTCACACCACATCAATATAACTCCAATCAACTTCGGCTCCAAAGTTTAGAATATACTCGGAACACACGAAGTGTCCAAACATACTCTTTCACGATCCGAATGATAGTCGGACGTATCATAGCGTAAACACTAAGACGCCAACTACCACCAAACTCTTACTATGCCGAATGACAGCCAACGTATCATAGTGACGGTCACTAAGACGCCAACTACCACCAGCTATCGATGATATGTCCACCACTCAAGACATATTCATTCATGGTCCCACGTTTACCGTAGACCATATCGTCGTACAGAAGTACCATGCAACTCCATAGTAATATCTCTTATAAAGTCCCAAGTCATTCATTGTTCTTCATTATATTTATATATTTATTATTTTTTCTCTGAGCCTTCACATATTATCACTTTTATTCATTAGACCTTACTTCCATATGATATTGGTATGGGACGTTCATACAATGTACTTTGACTATAGTACTAAGAGTCGCGATCGACCTCTGTACTTATATATGTACGATCATACAATTGTGTCCCCGCACGGTACATAATACTTCCCTTAGAAATCACTAAGTATGGAATTGTATTTAATTGACATAATAGTGATCGTATCTTGCTATATTTTTAATAAATATCCTTTGAGTATTTTAAGTGATTTTTAAATATTTTTTATCAATTTTTGGTAATATCATTTTCTCATACTAACACATACATTCCTTAAATTTAAGTATATATTATTAACTTTTATTGTGACTAAACGTTCTTAAACGTTTTACTTTCATCTTAATTGATCTTTATTATGACTAATTAATAATAATATTTATTATTATTAATAGGTCGTTACAATGGGAAAATCCAATCGCTGGATGTTGTCCATGAAAGGAAACCATGGAAGGATTGGAAGAGAGGATCAGGTCAAGCCAAGTGTCTTCACCGGAGACATTATGGTGGGTAGCTTGGAGAGGTAAAATATGAAAACAGCTTGACTCAACTATGTGAAGGAGTTTAAGGGTACGAGGAGAATTAGGTGCCAGGAGATTGGTACTAAAATCTCCCATGATGACGTGGTGAGCATACTCAGAACCCAAAGATTCAAGAAACAATTCAAAGTCGGTGAAATAATCTGCATTTGGGGGACAGTAAACAACAGCTATAACAATCTTAGCACCCTTAATCGTTACCTCCAGAAAAATAAACTCGGCAGAAGCGGTGTAGTTCTGGGATGAGGAGGCCAGTACCTTATACGAGAGGTTACCTCTCAGATATATGACAACGCCCCCTCCCCCTTTACCTATACGGTCATTTCGTAGAAGAATAAAACCAGGAAGGGGATACATGGTAGAATGAAGATGAGGTTTGAGCCAGCTCTTAGAAATCAGGATGGCATGCATGTTACATTCAGAGAACGCATCACACAAATCGCTAAAGTGGCTGGGAATACTTTGCGCATTTATGTGACAAATGTTTAGAAAGTTACAGTGATTTAACGAAAATTTATCATTTAAAAAGTCTCTAAGTGAGCCGCATGATGAGTCAAAACTCTCATCGGCAATAGAAGTAACAGATTCGTTGGCAGAATAATACAAGTCATCGTCAGAATCAATAGACATAATAAAATATATATAATATACGGATAGTTAAATAATTTAGTAATAAAAAAAAAATAATAACTACTTAAAGTAATGCAATAAAAAGTGCAATGTTTGATGGAGCAAGATCAATCTCTGCACCACCCGCCAGCGCACAAGCACGAATGATAACAATACCAAAAAACACCAAATCGAAAGAAATATTAAACAAAGCACAGTTATATAAAAAAAAATTAACTTTAAAAATATTAAAATAAATGAGAACTCCTTAATTACGGAAACTAGTGAAACGGAACGCATTCAAAACGTCATACAATGTTATCTTCTATATTATAAAGAGGAAAGATTTGATTGTTTGTATGTATTGAATAGGCTCCGAAAGTACTGAACCGATTTGAAAAATTCTTTCACTGTTGGGAAGCTACATTATCCGCACTTGATATAGGGTATATTATATTTTCAAAAAATAGGGATCCTTACTAAAACTTCAATAATGTAACCCAAAGTGTACAAAAATTACCTAAAATATTCTTTACATCGCGTGCGCTGCGAAAACTATTGATGATAGAATAAAATAATGTACTACGAATTTGCAGAACACATCATTATTTCCAAAAAGTGTCGCGAGAGCATATGTCTAACTATCATAGTTATGCCACAATAAGTGTTCTTTTATTTTAAAATTTTGATTGAAATGCCGCCGCTGGAAAAGGCTCTTTATTTGTATCTTGGTATTAATCCTTATAAAAATAAATTATTTCATATTAAAGACTGTTTCAATAGCTTTATATTACTTTTCGAATTATTAAATTCGGAAATTCCATTCGAAAAATATCACAAGTTTAAAAATGTTAGTAGATTGTAATTTAACTATCCAAACAGCTTAGTGACTGACTTAGTGGTTCTTATAATTTTTCAATCACATTTATACTGGTAATTCCTGTTTAACAGCTAGGAAATATTTAAGTACAAAGGCAGTTTAATTTTTTTATCATTTTAAAATGGCCAAAAGATCAAGATCTCATTTTTAGAAATAGTTCCCAGGCCAGGGCACCAAAAATACGCCGTAATGAAGAATCTTTACCGGAAAGTGTAAATCGTCTTACAAGTCGGAGAGAGTCAAGTAGAGAGGTTTAAAGAGCAAAATAATATAATTATACAAATTCACACTCGGGAATCGAGCTCTGAGCGTTCCCAACGCCTACGAGATGAGAGAGAAAGACAACAAACGTCAACGACTAGAGTTCGTAATCGACTTTTAGCTCACAGTCATCAGTCATCAGTCATCAGCATTAATGCATCAAGCTCAACAGTCTTCCGTCCAAATCGGAGCAATGAATAAGATCTGCTGTAAGTGTTCTACCAAAAAATGGGTCGATGAACCAAAAACGGTATGTGCTGTGCTTCTGGAAAAGTTAGTCTCCCCAATATTGAGGAGCACAGCCAATAAAAATCTTTTGACAAATAATCAATCACCATCTGGACATTTTTAACCAACATCCGAAAGTGCAATAGCCCTTTTCAAATGACTTCGTTTGACGCGAACTTTTAAAATAGAGGGACAAGTATACAAGTATCATCAATATACAACAATCATCATCCTCCTGCCTCCTAGGTGGGGTCGGCACAACATGAATCATGTTGTAAGCGGTTTTGGCTATATTTTTACAACCAGCCGCCTGCCTGACGTCAACCCTCCTTTGGAAACAAATACCCAGATCAAATTTCAAATGTGTAACTATCACGGTTCATGACAGACAGCGGAGTCTTAGTAATAGGGTTCCGTTTTACCCTTTGGGTACGGAATCCTAAAAAGGCCCCAGAGATATAGTGTTTCACGGTAGACACGTCCAACTTAAAAGGGTCTCTGAGTTACACAGATTGTATGATCCACTAAAATATTCCTTAATAGTCGTAATAGGAGAAGACGGTTAATATTTGACTATTCCTCGGCAAGGTCCTGTGCGTAACAAAACTGTGACATGCATGGAATTTTATGCATTTAGGTTGATGGTTAGAGCTACCTGTTTTAATCCATTGCATTATTAGTGGGACTTATTAGGGTTCCGTACCCAAAGTGCAAAATCGCACCCTATTACTAAGACTCCGCTGACTGTCTGTATGTCCGTATGTCTGTCCATATGTCACCAGGCTGTATCTCATGAACCGTAATAGTTAGACAGTGGAAATTTTCACAAACGATGTATTTCTGTTGCCGCTATAACAACAAATACTAAAAAACAAAAACGTATAAATAAGTGGGGCTCCCATAAAACAGACATGATTTTTTGTCGTTTTTATAGAACAATGAATAATGTTTACAGTAGTAGTGTTTTGACAGTATGTAAGTGTAATACTTCTATACTTCTATTGAATAAAGGTATTAAAACATGATTTTTTTTATGTGATAGAGTGGCAAACGAGCTGCCGGTTCCTCTGATGTTAAGTGATAACAACTGTGTTGCCAACATTAAAAAAGTGGGCCCCGGCTACCTCTCTCACCAGACGAAACGTAGAAGTATAACACTTCTATTTTTACGCCGGTCTTCTGTGAGGTCGGTACGGAACCCTTCGTGTGCGAGTCCGACTCGCACTTGACCGGTTTTTATTCAATACATTGTCGATATGATGGCAAAAAGATATCAGAAAGATTAAATTACATAATTATGATGTCGTGATCACCAGAGACCGAGGGCTGGTGAAACATTCATCTTAGAGACGCCTTAAATCAAGACATTGGTCCATCAAATATCGGTCAACGCGTAATCTGCAACGTCATATTCATTTACAGGTTCTCCGAGTTATCTGCATTAAAAAACCAAAGATGCGATAAGATTTATGTCCGAAGCTATGGGAGACCAGACTTATTTGTCACTTTTACGTGTAACCCCGAAAGTCCCGTAATTAAAGCGGAACCATTATCTGGTCAGCGGTCTTTCGATCTTCACATGACGTAATTTCAAGGGTATTTCATTAAAACATGAAGAAATTAATAAAGTTATTCACCAAAGACGAAATATTCGTAAGGTTTTATGTGATAACTTTTTGTTAAATACCCGTGCGAAGCCGGGGCGGCCGCTAGTTGTTTATAAAGCGACGACGACATGAATGAACGTCAAACGTAATACAAGCGTACGTCAAACAAAGCAATAGGAAGAAAATATGTCATTTATAATTAAAGTTATAATACTAATGTACTAAGTACAAGGAATAAACGTAAACATAATAAGAGAAAAAAAAAAAGGAGAAAGAAACTTTAACTTTGTGGTAAAAACTTTTTTTCTTTTTTTTTTTTAAGATCTACTACCCGAGTTGTTATCCTTTGAAGAAGACTTGCCCAGTGACTTCGGGTACTTGACGATGAGAGGGACCAGCTCTTCTTCTGTGGTGACTTTATAGTTGCTCCCGCAAGCAGTTTTAATGAATATAACACCACTCTGTGTCCAGACAGAGCGCATTCCGAAATGAAGACGAGCTTTGGTGAAGACTGCTTGCCTTACTCTCGTCAAGAACTCCTTCAGGGCTATTGGGGAGCCCTTCAGCTTTGTTTTAGCCTTCCAAACAAACAATCTAGAGTCCATGCTGGTGAACCTGACCAAGATGGGTCGGTGTTGCTCTTTACTGGGTGCACCTAGTCGATGACACACCTTGAAGGATGACTTGGACATGTCGTTGAGCCCCAACTTTTTATTGAACACCTCGAGAAGTAATTGGGTGCAATCTTCACTGTCCTTCTCAAACCTGTTACAATAAGGGCTTTCCTGCGACTCCTTGTGTCAATGTCATCCACTTGCTTGGCACACTCCCTTATTTCTTGGCGAAGAAGACTGAGAATGCCAAAAATTAGCTCCCTGAAGTTCCGGAGCTCTTCAGCAACCTTCGCTACTGTATCTTTTGAGGACCCGGCATTAGTGATTTGAGCTTGGAGATCATCAAATCTCTTCGAGATACTTTCTTCAAGCTTGTTTTGGGTGTTGATTATCTCTGACAAATTTGACATATTGATGCAAGATGTTTTGTGATTGTTTAATTAAAAGTGTAGTGCTAGTGATGAGCTGGCAGGTGGTGATTATTCTTTGTAGTTGTTACATATAATGCACTATTATTGTAAGTAACACTTAAATAAACTTAATAGAACTAATATGAGCCATAAACAGACTAATAATCGCAACAATATTTAATTAAAATATAAAGAACTATGAAAAACACGTCTGTACTTTTTATTCACCTACCGCCGAAAAAAAAAATTTAAGCGACCATATAATGGTCGCTTAAATTTTTTTCCACAAGTGTAAAAGTACATCAGATCAACATGTTTAATTTGTATTTACTTTCAATATAATTAAACAAAAACGGATAATATTAAACTAAATTAAATATTTTAGGACACATTTTTACACAACATTTTTTAGTCCCAAACTTAGCAAAGCTTGAACTATGGGCACTAGAAAACTGATAAACATACTTAAACATACTTTACTTTTGTAAATAAATACATATTATGCATGTATAAACACCCAGACACTAGAAAAACACTATTTTCATCACACAATATTTTCCAGTAGTGGGGATTGAACCCACACCCTCTGGCGCAGGAGGCAGGTACACTACCCAAAACGCCATTCGGGTCCTCAACAACTACCTGCCTTATTACCATACATACCTTCCTTAATCTATGGAGTTTTATACTACATGTGAAACTCTCAAGATGTCAAAACTCCATAAGGCTACATGGAGTTTTGACATCTTGAGAGTTTCTTACTATATAATATACTCATAACATGCTTGCTTCAATGTACTAACGAACAACCAGTGCGAGTTGTGCAATGAAACTTATTTTGAGGTGTGAATATACTTCACACTAATTTAATCCAACTTCCCTTAGTACTGGTATCAAGTTTAGTAATATTTGCTAGGAACAGTTTCAAATTTCGGTGTAGGCATCAATGAAATTGAAATTGCAATCTCAAATATAAAGTTACCGCCGAATACGTAGTAATCCTCGCAGTTGGAGCGAAACGGCGTGAGGTAACCCAATTATACAAAAAACTGTTTAGAACATCGTTCTCTACTTTATAAGCTTTACACATAAGATTTTGTCAAAAAAATGTTTAATCCTGTAGCTTTTTTTTTTTTTTTTTTTTATGCGAAAAGTTGTCAAACGAGCAGACGGTTCACCTGATGTTAAGTGAATACCGCCGCCCATGGACATCTGCTACACTCGAGGGTTACAGATGCGTTGACAACCTTTTGAAAATTGGGCTCCGGCTACCTCACTCACCAGACGAAACGCGAAAGTATTTGTCATACTTCCACTTTACGCCGGTCTTCTGTGAGGTCGTGGTACTTACCCGGACCACCGTAAATTACCACCGTAAATTCCACAGGCCCGATGACATAAAATCTTTTACAAAATTTCTGTACAAAAACTTTTCAGTGACATGATAATTAGGTCAGTGTGCCACGGAGCGCAGTAAGAAATAAATGCTATTCCAAACCGAGTTACATCTTTAAATTACGCATGTTGGAAGTAAATTTAAAAAAAAAAAACAATTTAGAAATATGAAAATCACTTAAAATAGTTTTTTTTTGTATAATAATACATATTTTTGTATATGAATTTATTTGCTATAATGAAATGAGAAACTGTGGACAACAATAATCAACATGGATGGAGCAATCCATGTTGATTATCGTTAAGATAATTTAAAAACGCTGTATACTTGACTTTATACTAATTTCTCAGCTTTCTTAAAAGAGCCAATCTGAGAATTAGTCTTCACTTCTGATGTAGCGACAGCTAAGTTCAAAATTGGTGCAACTATTCCTTCACCGAGTGAGAGCTCAAAGAGAATGCAGAGGGGCTGTGCAAGACCATCTGCACACTACGATAAGGTCCTAAGATCCAAGGATTTTATTACTTTTATAAAATATTTATAAAAATTGCAGTAGTGTAGTAGATGCCCTAGAAAATGGAGAAATTTCTATGTTTACATTATCTAGAGGAAAGAACAGAAAAAATACGTGACAAATTGAACACAGGCGTTTTGCTTCTTCACGACAACGCGCTGGTTCTCGAAGGGCGCGTTGCCAAGGCTACTGTGAGGATTTGAAGAAATCAATCATCCATTACAGCCTGGGGTAAGCATGTTTCCAGCGATGAAGAGTTGAAGGTGGTAATTGGTGTACATTTTTTAGTAAAGGAAGAACAATAGTTTAAGAGGATATTGATGAGTTAATTCAATTCTGAAAATTTACCGTTCAAATAAATGTAGTTAGGTGATGGGGTCTACATTGAAAAATAAATATCATTCAGAATTTTTTGCTTCTTTCATGCCTAGACCGTGAATGCATTGAACGCCTCTCTATATAATATATCAGACACTCATCTTACGAAGTATATCAGAAAACTTTATAAAATAATGTTGGCCATTTTGTTATATATAGCGCATAGCAGATTATATAGCGAGATTGGGTCGACCACATCTGGCATGAAACCAACGCAAATATGAAATATCGAGGGGTGTGTGCACTTAACAGAACATGTGTATGCTGGAACCCGCTATTCGTGTTCATTACAGTTGGGGCGAGAGCAGGGTATTTGAAAAATATTGAATTCATAAGTTGGTCGGCCATTTAAGAGCATTACGTTTTCAGATTACTGCTCACGCTGTTTTAAATACAAATCTTAAATAAAACGGGTGTGCAAAAGCTTATTAAAAACCAGAGGTAGTGTAATTGTTTGGCACATACTATTAAAATGCTATATAATTCATAAAAGAGGCACGCTGTTTTTACTATTAAAATAGTAAAAACAGATTGCCGTTTTTATGAATTCTTTCCCTGTGAAAACCACGTGACGTGAGATCATGACTTCAGAACACCAGTACGGTTCGCTCACATGATGCTATAGTATAAATATTAAATAGTAGGCTTAACCACTACTACTTTTGAAACTTCGTTAAGCTTACTAAGTGAATAGCTTTAGCCGTTTTTGAATCACATAGTTACAACGGGATAGGTTAAACTTGGATGGCTTGCAGAGACACCTTCTGAATTTTTGCGCTCCCTTGCTACTGGTTTGGGAATAAACATGTCTTTAAATAATAATAAAATACTAAACATGTTGATCGTCTAATCACGGTTTGGCTTTTGCTTAAGTTTGCACTTAACATTTCAAAGATGTAACTTATTTAAAACTTAAAAAAACAGATTTACTGCCAGATGATTGGAGTTAAATGGGAATATTTATGTGATCAAAGTTATTTTCTATGTAAGTTAAACAAATTAAGTTTTGAAAAATTTGTGCCTAAAACTATTTTAAGCTCAAACTTTTAAATTTTATGTTAAAAAACTCCCATACAACATTTTAACAGTAAATAGATCAAAGACAATATAGTAATAAACATAGGTTTATGAAAGCAGTTGAAGCCGCTCTGATTATACGTATCTTTAATGACAATCTTCGTAATTATTGTCTGTAACAGAATACTTCGAAGAGTTCATCAAATAAAGCTTTTATAATGATCATCCCGTTAATACAACACAGCAAACGTTTTAATGGCTTATTCCTAATAAACCCAACTGGTTACGTTCTTAAAGTTCGTCTATCCGTTACCATAAAAATTCGCGCCTCATTCGCATTCACTAATAAACTTTTTAATAACAAAATACAAGTCAGTCTCTCACTAAATTGTGTTCTTAAATCTATTCAATAACTTTTTGGTCTTAAAAATTTCGTACAAAATTCTTTTTCAACACTTTTTTCCAATTTTTCTTTGGTGCAGATCGGCCTTTTTCGAAATACCAGGGCACGGCACTTTCATTCAAAGATCCCTTTGAATAAATGACATTATATACATTCCACTAACGCTCGCGGGCATTATGCTCTCGAGATAATCTTTCGGAGCCCGAGCTGGGAAAGGAAAAATTTCATTAAATTGTTACAAGCGGTAGCGTAAAAGCGCTGTCCGTGGATAAAGCGAAACGGATTGTTCGCGATGAATCTGGGATCGTTAATTTACATGATCTTGAGTTTGCCTTGATTTTATATTTAAATGGTCTCTCTATCCGGACCATAGCTAAGGAAAATGGTTTTTGTTATTTATGTAGACTTATTTCTAACTCCTATTAATAAATCTACCACAAATAACATAAACATCTTTTGTATCCTGTATTAAACTGATGTTAACCCTTTCGGTTCCGAGACTATTCAAGCTTCATCGAACGCTAAACCCGTCGGCTAGCCAGAACCTACGGGTTTGAGGCCCTCCACGCGTATGTGCTCATGCATGTAAAAACATTTATGACATCTAGCACATTTCTGGTTAACAAGTCGAAAATTTGGGGTGAAAGGAATAAAAGAATAGGCATTGCACGAGAAGCCCTAAAATCTTATGTCACCTAAAGTATAATAGAAAATAAAAGAATTTTCTTTTGTAACAACAACTTGAAGGTGAAATATCACTGTGCTGTACACCCAACTCCTTTGCCTGTGCAATTCGCACGCATAAAATGAAAAAATTAAACAACGTATGTGCTTAAGGCATAACATACGAGACTTAAAATGATTCTTAGCGATGTCTGCCTACCTCATTTAAATTGAAACCATTAGAGATAGAGAATTTGTAAAAATAGACGCCCAACCCCTTAACCCAGAAATAAACTGAGATTGAAATCTTCTACAAAAATTTCATTCGCTTTAAAAAACTAACAGTTTTGTATCTACAACAAGGGAAGCAGGTCAGTGTGCCATGGTGCGCGACAGTACAAAAATGTTGCCCTAAGCTGTTACATCTTTTAATTTTATATTTCACTCTTAAGAAAAACGTGATATAAAAATGAAATTCTATTTGAACATTTAATATTAAAGGAACTGTTTTATAACAAAAATTACAGTTGTTTGCTAAAGTCCAAATATAAACGGTTAAATAGACTTCACATTTAAAAAGAGAGTGCTCTTATAAAGGTTCCTTTTTTACCTTTACGGAACCCTAAAAA